CAACGGAGGAGATTGATCTGCTCAAAAGGCCTATAAAATAGGCAGAAGCATGAGTGATAAAATCAAGTTTTTGAGTCATCTAAGTAGAGTATTCACTTCAAACATCCAAGAGATATCTAGCAAAAGAGAAAGTGCATGTTAAACTTTGCTCTCTGCTTAGACTCATGCTTCACTAAGCTCTTAGACTAAGATCATACACGACTACACTTTTAGAGCTTAGTTTCTAGTTGGAGGATAGAAATTTTCTTGTAAACAAATTGTTGTAAACACTTAGGAGAACAGTTGTTCGGATCCTAAAGTGTGATTAGATAGATAGAGTACCTTTTGATCCCCACTGGATCAATCGAGAAAAGTCTAAGGACTGAGTAACTTTGAGTGGTGTTATACTCATCGTGAAAAACCTTCAATCTAGGCCAGAGTTGTCAAGGCTAGATTGGCACTAATTGTATTGGGCTGAATACTTTAGTGGAAATCCATCTGAAATAGGGTGGGACTGGATGTAGGAGGATTACACCACCTCTGAACCAGGATATATCGTGTGTTGATTTACTTTCATACATACAGAAGCACACACCAAACACATCTCACTAAAGGATTGTAGTTTGCCAGCAGCATCCTAAGCAGTAGTCTTCATCGACTGTACTGCTTAGCCTACTGCTTAATAGCTCACTCTCCTTGAGAGTATTTTCCACTAGAAGTTATCTTACACTCAGAAGGTGCCTCAGCAGTACCCTGGTCTTCACCCTCCTGCTAAGCCCACTGCCCATTTATATGTGTCTTTCCGAACGCCATAACAAGCCAGAACAAAAAGCCATCCAAAAGTCATCCTGTTCTTAACAGTTGCCTCAGCAGTAACCTGCCCACCAGCCAACTGCCAATTCAGCAGTTGCCTGCCAGTCAGCAAACTGCCTGTGCAGCAGTAGACTAAGCAGTTATCTGCTCACCAGTCTACTGCCAAGCCTACTTCCTCTTGTCACCAGTCTAAACATCATCTAAACTAGAAAGTTGTCTTACACCAAGTATAAAGAGGTTAAAGACTTCCGCTGTGCATCTATTAATCTCTTAAAAGATTATAGATCAACTCTTCTAGAGGGAAAACTTCACAAAGTTGAAAAAGATTTTAAAAGTCTATTCACCCCCCCCCCCTCTAGACTTTTACCTCTATCCGGGACCATCAGAACCGGAAAAGGATGCAGAGGCACAACCATCCCTAGCTCCAGAGAGCGGATATGGACCCCAAAGTAATGGACTGGGGGGGATCACTCAGTACCTCGGTAGCCTCCGGAGTTCTCAATGAACAATTGGCACCGATAAGGCTGTATGCAACGACAAGGTCCTCGGCTTGGATATGAGGGGGAGGTTCGCTATCCCGCTATTATCGAGGCCCCACCAAAGATTCGGGTCATCCCGAGCACCAGAATCATCATCAGAGTCTGACACGTCCACATGTTGTGCTCGTGCTATGCCTGGAACGCTCTGTTGCTGACCCTCAGAAGTAGCAATCTGTCTGGCTGGAGCTTTGACCTGATGTTTGGTAGCTTTTCCCGCACGCATACGTGGTCTGGGGCCGCGGCTGACCCGTATGGGTTTCATGGCCGCCCCCTGCTTTCCTTCAATGATGGCCGGCAGTCCCGAGTCCGATGACTTGGAGAGGGGCTGAGCCTCAAATTGCATGGCGGAAGGCGAGTCTTGGCCATTGTTTTCATAGGGAGAGCGCTCGACGCCTCACATGATTCAGAAGAGGTAAGAAGACCTGCAAAGACAGACAAACAAACAAACTTGGAGGTTATACAATTTCAGAGAGATCCACACACATGAGGCAGGATGAAGACCCCTGGCACCCAGATCCGGCCCAGCATGATCAACGCCTAAGTGGGTGGTATCTCGTACCACCGAGGCTTGCCTGGCCGATGGGGGGGGGGCGTCCCAGGGGACTGCCCAACTCGCCGTTTAAGGATGCATGTCGGGCTCCTATCTGCATGGCCGCCGAGCAAACCCACTCAGCCGCCACCCCCGTCCGGGTGGGGTGGGAGGGTGGGAGGGGGGCGACCCAACGCACAGGCCGGGGACTGCCGGACGAAATATAGGGCGTGGGCTAGCAGGCAGCCGCCAGCCTGATGGATGGCAGTGAGAACATTTTTTGGGCCTGCGTGTTTATGTGGCGCACAGGGAAGGAAGAAGGCGGCGCAACCACCTTGAACCTGCCGCATGGAGGAAGAAGAACACCGGGCAACCGCCGGACAAAGCGGGTCCCCAACGAACTAGAATTCCGACCCTCCAAGTCGCATTCTGGAGCAAGGATGCATGGCGACGGCTACTCGCAACCAGCCGCCTGAGGGGGTGGCCACGCCGGCTTGCAAAGATGCCCGTCGGCCTCCTGGGTGGCGTCGGCCATCGGGGCGGCCGAGTATTCCGGACTCCGGTCAAGCCGCCAGGTGACGAACAGAGGGCCCAGCTCTGACCCACAAGCGTCGGTCAGCCTGGGGCTGGCTGCGGCGCTGGGTCGACGCGGGGAGACGCACGCGTGCAGGGACCAGGAGAGAGAGAAGGAAAGAAAGGAAAGAGAAGAAAAGAAAGGAAAGAAAAGAAAAGGAAAGAAAAGGAAAAAAGAAAAAGAAAAGGAAAAATAAAAAAAATAATAGTAATAATAAAGTCCGAAAATAATTATAAAATAATAATGAATTTCAGGAATTTTCAGAAGCTGATCTGGATTCTGAAGTCTGGAAGAAAACTGACTGCTGGAATGCTAGGATACCGGGAGAATTAATTTGGAGCCTTTTTAAAGCTGGGAGCTTTAATTAGAATTGGGAAATCTCCATAAATTGTGGGATTGACAGAATCCACAATTATTGCTCTCTCGTATGTAAATATTTTTCAAATTAGCAGCTGACTTGGGCTACTCCCTATTAGCCGAGTCCACTACTCGACTAAGGGAGTGGGGGACTCGTGATGGGATTATCGGACTAGACCCAATGCCTAATCGGCCCAGGCCCCAAACATGGATTATCAGGCCCAACCGGTGGACCCGGCAATCCGGATCTCAGGCCGGCCCAACTGATCAAACCCGTCAAAGAGAGCAAGTCCGACTGAGCGGAAGCCCAATATGGCTTGCCTACCAGCCCAACCGGAAGCCCGCCTTCTAGCCTAGCTAGGAGCTTGCCTTCCAGCCCAACAAAAGCCTGCCGCCCAAGAAGCTCGAGCGTCCGACCCTCCGGCCAGGCCGACCCTCCAGCCAGGCCGACCCGCCAGCCAGTAAGGAGGCGTAACTGCCGACAATTAATGCGCCATTGATTATGTATTTAGTTCCTTATTAATGTTGTAATTAATTAGCCATTAGTATATTTGGCAGTTACCATTTGTAATCGCCTATAAAAGGCAAGTTCGATTCAAATAATAGACATGTTATTCTTGGCAACTAAAATTCCTGAGCAACTTTCCATTCTCGTATTATCTTCTTGATTCCTGTTCGAGTGTTCTTACGTAGCTTTCGAAAAAGCCTACGAGCGTCCTATTTTGGAGCAACAGAGATAATCTGCCCGCCTTCTATCCATTTTTTGGCTTGGCCAGGGCCATGTTATCACCAAATGGATCATCTTGTTCTTGAGCCTCCCAGTTTCGCCTGCACTTTTGTTCCCCTGACATTTCCATATTGCTCCCATAATTCCCTTCTTTAGTCGTGCTATTGCCCATGCCCATCGTGGACTCCCTCCATCCTTGTCCTTCTGCTCCAACTCCCGTGCTATATCCTCCTTTTGTGGAATTCCCAGACCTGAGCTAGAGGAGCCTTCAATTAGCCATTTGTTCCCCCTGTATGACTAATCTTTCCCTCTCCATCAGCTCTAAGGTTCACCCCATATTTTTTTCAGTACTAGGTTATCCTCATATGTTAATGGGCAAAACTTATGAGAATGATCAACAATTCCACAAATAAAGCAAAAATTGAGTAGCTTCTCACATTTAAATTTTACCTAGTGGCCAATTCCTCCTTTCTTAAGAGTTGGTCCCTTTTTCATATGTTTTCCCACATCCATGCAGACCCTAACAATCAAATATGCTTCTCACTTTTCGTCAAATTGGTTTCCATCGTAGCTAATAAATTTACCAATAAAATTACCAATCCTTCTAGCAATGCCTAAATTCATAAAGCTATAAGGAACATTATGAACCTGAATACAGAATTTCAACCTCATTAAGACTAATTTTGAGCGGAATATCCTCTGGCTTGATCTCCTTTAGGATCAACAAATTTCTTTCAAACAACCACATGCCACTCTCTAAAACACGTTTCATATCCTTTATGATAGAAAGTAAAAATATACCTTTTATCGCCAATTTCTTTTGTCGACACATCTTTTCCTGGTCTTCCCAAAGAAGCATGAGTTCCTTGAGAACTGAAACTTAATCTTCCCATCACTCAAAAGTGTGTCAATGACCGGGAAGCTCGTCCGCCTCTCCCCCATTGCCGGTTCTCCAAACTCGTCTTCATTCAAGTTCAACTCCTCAGAACCCCCATCGATTGCCATGTTCTTATATTGATTGACAATGTTTTCCATTGAAACTCCCCACTACTGGATCGATCGGAACTCTACGCCACGCTCAACGAGCACTACGCCTTTCTCACTGGAACGAACTGAGGCCGCCGCTGAAGAACATGAGCCTCAACCTCACGCTGCACTCCTTCGCTCAATCCTAGGAGACTTACCACGACCGCTCATCGTCAATCAACGACTGCGAAGATAACGAAACCCACTCGCATCAAACTTCCGCCTCCGACGATCCCTCTTAGACAGAAAGGATAGTGGAGAGGAAAAACCCTAGTGGAGAGAGAGAAATCCCTTGAGCCCTTATTAGAAATTTAGAATAATAAATTAATTAATTGAAAATTTCAATACAATTAAAAACATCTTTAATTTAGAAAGTTAAAAACGCATATAAATCGTATTCTTAAAACGCATCCTTGCAGCTCCATTTTTGTTATTTTTCTCTCTCAAATTATGAGTTCTGAGTTCATTCACAATAGTTAGCCAACTCCGTTGTCTGCGAAATTAACTAACAGAGCAATTCAATCCCTTTCCGCTCCACTTTTCTCTCCCCGCCATGTCTTTCCTACGTCAAACAACCCGCTCCTCTCCAATTCTTCCCCAAATCAACGAAGCCCTAGCTTTCTTCCGTTTTGGGAATCCAAATTTCCACAGCATTTTCACAAGAATTTCACCATATCTGGCTCCGTTTTGTGAAAAATGCGTATACGGGAAGAAGGGAGCTTAAACGAACATCACAATGCACCTTCTTGGGGCTTTATTTCCATTCTGGTCTTCATTTTGGTTTCTCAGGTGGAGATTCAGGTGGCCCATGCCGGCCCTGACACGGGCAATCCGGCTGCCGTGCAGCTCTTCGCCCAGGCCGTCTATAATAAATTTAAGAATTTCAACTCCCTGTTTGACGATAGCGTCGCAAAAAAATTGCGTTATTGCGTCAACAATGTGTAAGCAGATTTACGTTTATATTCGCATGTCTATGTATAGTTTCCTCATGCATGTATGTTTGAAATGAGAAACTTAAAAATCAATAAGAATACTTATTCCAGGATTTAGCAATTTATGAAGTTTTAGCTTAAGCGACTGTATTGCCTGATTCTTCTGATATATAAAAAAACTAAATTTTAAATATATTTTATTAATAATTTAAAGAAAAAATTATATGTAAAAATAGTTAAAAATAACTTCAGCCGAAACAACTAGAAAAGTAATTTCAACCTTACTTTTTCTTATCATTACACATTTCAGTACGTGAAATCAAAAATTACGTGTTTGGTGAAAAAGTCGACTGATAATACTGATAACAGTGTTACCAAACGGGCTCTTAATGTATACAGTATTTATTGCATCCGGCAAAGTGAGAAATGTAATTGCCAAGAATTACTTCGTTTTTTAAAGTACTTCAAACTCTATATACCACACCATATAAATTATGTTAGCCTCCATTTTTCTCTTAAAATCAGTTCTCACTTTTTAGTAATCATTTACTTGCATGACTGCATCAGTGTTATTTATTTATTTATTTATTTATTTATTTATTTATTTATTTATTTATTTATTTATTTATTTATTTATTTATTTATTTATTTATTTATTTATTTATTTATTTATTTATTTATTTATTTATTTATTTATTTATTTATTTATTTATTTATTTATTTATTTATTTATTTATTTATTTATTTATTTATTTATTTATTTATAGTGTTTGGTTTTTATTTGATTTACTTCTAGTTAAAATCATCAGCCTTGTTTCCCTTGTTCTTAGCGCATGTTTGGTAGACATAAGTCTCTATCTTCTAGCTTTTATATTATTAAAAAAGTCTTTAAAAACTCATAATTGTATGTTTGGCATCACATATTTTAAGAGCCTTTCTAAAAATTTAAAATCTTTTTCGAGAAGCTACACTCATTAGCATCTCAGAAAAGTCTGTAGCTATTAGCATTAATTAATCATCACAAAAGCTTGTTATATCAAACATAACTGAATCTAACAGTCATCTTTTTATAGAACAACTTCAACCTTGTGCTTTTAAAATCTTTGTAGTCACTAAAAGCTAATAGTCACGTAAAAACTCACAAAGTATCTTTTGAGCTAGTTGTGCCAAACATACCTTTGAAGCCATTGCATTTTATTATAAACAATTGTCTGAAATTGGCATTGTAGCAATCTCATTAAAGAAAACTGTCTGCATTATGCACTGTAGGGATGCTGATTGGAAAGCAGCATTTGATTTTTCGAAGGACACTGAGTTTCTTTCCAATTGCGTTAAACAGACAAAAGGTATACCTGATAATATGAAAGAGCTTACATCAAATCTGTATTTCCTGAACTTGTTATCTGACATTATATTTCATTTTGTCGGATCAACAGGGGATATTATGCAGCGCTTGTGTACAGCTTCAGAAATAAAATTTTATGCATCAAGCATAGTTCTTGGCACACTGGAAAACAGTGGGTCTGGCAGTAGTAACTATGTGAAACCAAACAAGAACTGTAATTTAACATCATGGGCTTCTGGTTGTGAGCCAGGTTGGGCTTGTAGTGTTGGAAAAGATGTGCAAGTTGACCTTAAAACAGCAAAGGAAATGCCCGTCAGAACTCTTGAATGTCAACCTTGTTGTGAAGGGTTCTTTTGTCCTCATGGTCTGACCTGCATGATACGTAAGTATCTTATGATGCACTCTTGATTGACAAGGGCATTAAGGAAAAATCTTTAGAAGAACAGTTATCATCAAGGTTTTCTTTCTTGTAATATCTTTAAAAAATCTTTACCTTTTGTAGTCTGTATCTAATTATAGCCAAGTGTAGTATAAATAATGATTAAATATTTCATCAATTACAACTAATATTAGTCTGATTGGGTAAAGCTAAAAATGGCTTTTGCTGAAATTGCTGATGTTGTGGCTGAATCGATTGAACATGTTGAATTATCTAAAAAGTATACGTAGAAACATATATTGAAGTACATTGAAGAAAATTATATTTCAGCCAAAAAAGTAAGCTATGCACCATTTATTTTAATTATCAGCAAATTCTGTAGAACAGTAACAATGGCTTGTGTCTGGTGAAAAACGACTAATTTGGGCTCTTAATTTGCATGTGTTTCTATTCTTGGAGAAGCATGTCCATTGGGCTCCTATTGCCCTGTTGCAACTCTGAATAAAACGACGGGTGTATGTGATCCGTAAGTTCCTTTCCTAGAAAAAAATTTGTTTTGTTTTTGATATGAAGCATAATCTGGGCTTGGAAGAAGAGGGGCAGAAGCCCCCGTGGGTTTACCGAAGGTTGGACGGGCTTGAGCCCACCTTCGTGGGCTGGTTGCGGGCTGTTTAATTAATATTTCTTATTCCTTTTATTTTGTTTCCTAATTTAATTTGTTTCCTAGTAGGATTTATTTAGGACTTCTATTCTTATTAGAATTAGAGGTTTCCTATTTCTATTTAGTTTCCTAGAATGATTTAATTAGGAGTTCTATTAGAACTAGAGGTTTCCTATTCTATTTAGTTTCCTTGATTAATTTATTTAGGATTCCTATTCTTATTAGACCTAGAGGGTTATTTATACCCCTTGTATGCTTCATTCTTGAGGATCGGGGAATAAAAGTTGGTTTAGCCTTTTGGCTTTGGGCAACGGTATTTATTTATCGTTGATTATCGGGCAACGGTTCATACCGTTGATTTTATTTTTTCTGTTCTTATCAATTGTTCCGACCTGCCGGATCCCGTCCCGCCAGAATGATGAGATCTATCGGTGAACGTTTGTCAGAGATGCTGGCCAAGCAAACTCAAACCCTAAAGGAGCACAACATGCGTCTGGCAGAGATCGCCTCATCCCTGGCAGCGCTTACCAAGGCGCTCGTTCCATCAGTCACGACGGAAACAAGCTCGGACACGGGTGGCAGCCCCAACGTATCTACGCACAGCGGCGACGGACAGCTGCACAACGTCACTTCTTCATTGGCTGCACTAAAAGAGACTCTTGCACCGCCAGCGGCGGAGCATTCAATGGTGGTGACTTCACTCGACGCGGTAGCAGCATCCTCGTTCGGAATTGGACTACGCAGCTCCTTTCTTACGACGTTGCCCTCGTTTAACGAAGTAGAACCGATCAGCTGGGTTGATAAGGCTGAGAAACGGTTCAAATTGAATTGTGCTCTGCCGGGAAAGAAGGCGGCAGCCACTGTAGTTGTGATGGAAGGGTCAGCCCTATACCGGTTGACCTCGATGCGGACACGAAAGCCGGGCATGTCATGGGATGAGCTTACACAAGCATTGGTGGCTCGTTTTGACTCACAGTTTCAGGGCAATTGCTTTGAACGGCTGTCCGGAGTCAAGCAGACAGGGACTGTGGAGGAGTACATCTCAATTTTTCCTAAAGATACTGGGCAGCCACCGGGAACAAATGTCAGCCGGTTTCCGGATTTCAACCTTGAGGACAAGGTTTTTTCGAAGGGGGATGGAATTGATATGAAGCATAATCTGGGCTTGGAAGAAGAGGGGCAGAAGCCCCCGTGGGTTTACCGAAGGTTGGACGGGCTTGAGCCCACCTTCGTGGGCTGGTTGCGGGCTGTTTAATTAATATTTCTTATTCCTTTTATTTTGTTTCCTAATTTAATTTGTTTCCTAGTAGGATTTATTTAGGACTTCTATTCTTATTAGAATTAGAGGTTTCCTATTTCTATTTAGTTTCCTAGAATGATTTAATTAGGAGTTCTATTAGAACTAGAGGTTTCCTATTCTATTTAGTTTCCTTAATTAATTTATTTAGGATTCCTATTCTTATTAGACCTAGAGGGTTATTTATACCCCTTGTATGCTTCATTCTTGAGGATCGGGGAATAAAAGTTGGTTTAGCCTTTTGGCTTTGGGCAACGGTATTTATTTATCGTTGATTATCGGGCAACGGTTCATACCGTTGATTTTATTTTTTCTGTTCTTATCAGTTTTTCAAATTATTTTCACATCATTAATAAATCCATATGGTCTGGTTATTGCTTTCAGGTACAGTTATCAACTGCCTACGGGAGAGACAAATCATACATGTGGTGGAGCAGATGTCTGGGTTAATTTTGTGAGTTCTGCCGATCTATTTTGTTCAGCGGGATTTTATTGTCCAAGTACTACCAAGAAAAATCCTTGCAGTCGTGGGTATATATTGATTGTTAACCCTTGCATTTCTAAGTCTATCAGTTCAGTTTTTAAAATGCTTTTCTTGACTATTTGTCATTTACAGCCATTACTGCAGAGCTGGCTCAACAGAGCAAACGAGTAAGTCTATCTCTTGCTTTGTTATAGTGAAAATCAATAATCAAATTAAAAGAAAATAGCTCAGGGAGGTCCTTTAAGATGCTGTATTATGAGTTTTGGTTTAATATCAGCTTATCTAGTGCATTAGATATAACTGTAAAGCTTATCTTGCAGAATGTTACGAATTGGCTACTTGTGAACCTCAAACTGCCAATCAAAATATTACAGCATATGGCCTACTCTTTTTTGTAAGTCATTGTCTCACTCACTCATAGTAAATCTTACTGTATAATGTCATCATTCATCATCATCATTACCCCAGTGCCGCAAAGGCTCCCACCTTCGGTAGGGTAAGGGGAAGTTGGATGTACGCAGTCCACCCTTGTACTAAAGTACAAAGAGACTGTTTCCGGATGACCCATAGTGAAAATTGCGTCGAGAATTGCATGGACTGACTGCTGCTTCATAACAAAGAAGCGCAAACAGTTTAGTGAGCCATTTTGCTTTATTCCATCATATTCCCAAGCCAAAAAATAGTGAGTCTTTGGCTATTGCAAATGATGGAAACTCTTACTGTATAATGTATATAAATAAATTATACAAAGTATATAGAGTATGATAATTGGTCGATATACTTCTTTGGAAATTGTTTCTTTAAAAGTTTATATATACTTCGTTGGTGTACTTGATTGCCCCGTGTTTGGTGGAGTTTCTTATTCCTTTTGCTTCATTGACCATTTGCCATTGTTACTGCAGTCAATGGACATTTTTAGAAATCTTCGTCATTCAAATACCCTACACTAAACTAAAACTTGTTGTTTGCTCTTTAAAAAGTGTATTACAAGTCTCCTAGATCTTGTGTAAATCAGTAAATGTTGTTAGACCCTGTTCAATCTAAACTTGCTTGTAACATATAAACATATTTGGATTATTAAAATGCTGAAATGTAAATCGCAAGATCTAACTGGAGGTCATAGTTGTTGTTGATTGCATAATTTTTTATGTTTTTTGCAGAATGATTTCTTATACTTTTACTCCAAAAAATAGATGATGCATCTCAAACTTAATTGGAGTAGTGTGAGAACCTTTTTTATATATCTACTGTGATGGATTTTAATATTATCTAAAACCAGACATTATTATTAATATATGCCTAATTGCCATTTTTATCTGTTGATTAGGCTGGAATCATACTTGTGCTTCTCATCATATACAATTGGTCTGATCAAGTACTGAGCACTAGAGAGAAAAAACAAGCTCAGTCCAGGGAAGCAGCAGCAAGAAGTGCACGTGAAACAGCACAAGCACGTGAAAAATGGAAATCTGCAAAGGATGTTGCTAAAAAACATGCAAGTGGACTTCAGTCGTCTTTATCACGAACATTTTCTCGAAAAAAGTCCTCAGTGACAGAACAGAGCGGTGGAAAGGATGCTGCCTTGCCACCTATGCCCTCTGGTATGTCTCAAGCAAAAGCTAAGAAGCAAAGCAATCTCACAAAAATGATGCGTGAACTTGAAGAGAACCCTGATGGTCATGAGGGTTTTAATGTGGAGATAGGTGATAAAAATTTAAAGAAGCATAAGACTAAGCAATTGCATACTCGCAGCCAAATCTTTAGATATGCATATGGTGAAATTGAGAAAGAAAAGGCACTACAGGAGCAGAACAAGAATATGACCTTTTCTGGTGTCATTTCAATGGCTAGCGAGTTTGAAACTGTGGGTAGACCTCCCATTGAGGTTGTTTTCAAAGACTTGACACTTACTTTAAAGGGTAAAAAGAAACATTTGTTGAGGTGTGTGTCGGGCAAGTTGTCGCCCGGTCGTGTTTCTGCTGTCATGGGTCCTTCAGGGGCTGGCAAGACAACATTTTTATCTGCTTTGACCGGAAAAGCTACAGGTTGTACCATGAGTGGTTTGATTCTTATAAATGGAAAGGCTGAAAGTATGCAGTCATACAAGAAAATAATTGGCTTTGTCCCTCAAGATGATATAGTGCATGGTAACTTGACAGTAGAAGAAAATCTCTGGTTTAGTGCAAGATGCAGGTAAATATGTTGCCTCAATTTAGTCCTTCTTGTGTATCCATCTAAATGAATACTTTGAGTAGGACTCTCTAAATCCCCTTTACCAACCCTGCCAATCGTTTGCAATTGCATGCATGATTGAATTGGGTAACTGAATGGGCTGTAAATGCACTTAGTCCAGTCACACTAAAAAGATGGAATTATGTAATGAACTAGTTCCACATATGGTTAAACTAGTTTGATTATTGATTCTCATTCTTTATATAAAATATTGTTGCTAATTTGATTTGAATTCGCTTTAATGGTCTTAAGTTATTTTATGTATAGATTGCCAGCAGATCTTGCAAAACCAGAAAAGGTTTTAGTTGTTGAGAGAGTGATAGAAGCCCTTGGATTGCAGAATGTAAGAGATTCTATTGTGGGAACGGTGGAGAAGCGAGGCATATCTGGGGGCCAGAGGAAGCGAGTTAATGTGGGGTTGGAAATGGTTATGGAGCCATCTTTATTGATTTTAGATGAACCAACTACTGGCTTGGACAGCTCTTCTTCTCAGTTGTTACTTAGAGCACTTCGCCGAGAAGCTCTTGAAGGAGTAAATATATGCATGGTCCTTCACCAACCGAGGTAGTTATCCTAAATTATCCCCTCTAAATTTAAACTAGTTTTAACTTTTAGCATCTTTTCTCTCTCCACCCCGTCTTACTTTTTTACTCAATGGAATTGTACTATGGGAAAATTCCACACATAGGACTTAAGCATATTTCCACAAATTGGATAAGTACGGATTAAAACTTACCAGACATTAATAAGATAATGCGACCAAAATATACCCTCAACCTTACCCATATTACACTCACACTCTACCGCTTTGATTCACTGCAGAAGGAAAATTTACTAACCGCTGCCGCCTGCCACTGACCACTTGTTAGTGAGTTACTAACCCTAGCTATTGAACTGGAGACGATAGTGAGTACCCAAGGTCAGTTGGTGGTCAGTGAACCATGGACACCAGTCAGCAAAGTGAGCAAACCAGTGGTGGTGTTCAGGTGGTCACTGGTCAGTGGCAGAAACTGACCCCCTTTTCAGTGACTCCATCACTCTCCGCGGTAGTGGTCAGTGGCCTGGACATCTTGGGTTGATTTATAAAAATTAATAGGAATAAAGTTTAGGGAAAATAACTTTAAATAATACCATCACTCATCAACCAATAATAATACATACCTTAAAAATGATTTTTAATAATACCAACTACTGGAATGTAAAACAAAAATAATATGGAGTCAACATTTAACAAAAGTCTAGTCATTTAAAACATAAAAAACTAATAGCAAACCATCAAATAAATGAAATTCGGAAATACAACCACTTATTTAATATTTTAATATTAGTTTTTGGTGAAATAAATGACTAAATCTTTGGTGGAAAATGCTAGATATCACTTTTGGTCTATATTTAAATTTTAAATAGTTGGTATTATTACAATTTATTTCCAAAGTACATATTATTCTTAGTTCATGGAAGATAGTTTGTATTATTTAAAGTTATTTTCCCTAAAGTTTATATTAGGTAGCAATTTTCTTGCCTCTATCATTTAAGTAAGGCTCCATAGGTTCTAGGATAACTAGAAAGTATAAGTGGTACAATATTTTTCATTGGGCTAATTGTTAATATCCTTGTTCAGCTACACACTGTTCAGGATGTTTGATGATTTTATACTTCTAGCAAAGGGCGGTCTAACTGTATATCATGGACCAGTGAAGAAAGTTGAGGAATACTTTGCAGGACTTGGTATCCATGTCCCTGAACGTGTTAATCCTCCGGATTACTTCATTGACATTTTAGAGGGAATAGTGAAGCTAAGTCCAAGCATAGGAGTGAACTACAAAGAGCTTCCTCTCAGATGGATGCTTCATAATGGCTATCCCGTACCACCAGAGATGTTGGATTCTGCTGGAATGGCAGCTTCGGTCGGAGAAAATTCAGCTCATGGAGGAAATCCTGCTGCTGCAGGACCAGATGGAACATTTGCAGGGGATCTGTGGCAGGACATGAAATCCAATGTTGAACAGAAAAAGGACCAAATGCAGCATAATTTTTTAAGCTCAAAGGATTTGTCCAATCGGGTCACACCGGGTTTGATAATGCAGCTTAAATATTTTCTTGGAAGGTATTGCTTGGTTTCCTGCATATTACAAATTACAATGTTCCTTGAATACAATATTTAATTTGGTATATAATAATAGGGAGGAGAAGGCACATATGCCCCGCTGTGTCAGGGAATAAATATACCCCCAACATTATTTTGGAACAATCCACACAAAAATTGTAAAGTTGTAACAAATATATGATAAGGATCAGACCTGCGATATATGATCTAACAACAGAAATGGAGAAAATCGATTGATGAACAGTAAATGAGGGAAGTCGTATAACAAACAAGAGGGAGAATAATGTTCTGGCAGTTTTAAGAGATGCCTCTCTCCAAGTCCCAGCCCAAACCAAAGCCAAAAACCAGCCTACCCTTATTACCACAACTTATCTATTTATAGTATTTTCCCTGTTGGGCCGGACCAAGTCAACTAGTACCTAGCCCAAACCCCTATTTATACAATATCACACTCCTTAGTAGAATTCTACTATTATTATTCATATTGGGGGTCCAAGTCCCTATCATATCTCCCCCCTTGAACAACCACCTTGTCCTCAAGGTGGGTGATACAAAGCAGCCTTGATCTTTAAATTCATCTTCATCCTAGCACCCCTTCCTTCCCAGTACATTGCTGAATTCTGTACCTTCAGCTTTGGTGCTTGACTCTTCATTTTCCAGTTCTTCTCAGTCAGAAAGAGCAAAAATAAAGGCAGGGTGGCATATTGCACCCTGGTGTTGTAAAATTTTCCCCATGTCTGTAACTCCTGATGATGTCTTTGCTCTTGTTCCCACATCTTTTCAAAAGAATTGACCTCAGCTTGATCAAGACCATGAATCCAATCATACTTGAAACTTTTCAGTAAGCATTTGTCTCTAATATTCCCAGCAACACACATGATCCCTTCACCATCTATGGAAGCCAGGGCACAACATGCTGCCTCATAGAGAGCAACAACAACCTGCTTAACAAGTTCTTCCTTACAATTCTCAACTGTTTGCTCAATCAACCTATTCACCCTTACCACAGCTTTATTCATAAAGTCCATGCCTACCGGGATTGGGTTCCACTGGTGTTCAATAGTGCACTTATTATCAGCAATTTCAGTGAGCCTTTCCTTCATCCCTGGGTTGGCTGTTTCCTTTTCCATCTTAGATTCAATCCTTGCAGAATTGAAGAGGCCGAATCCTTCTCCACTTGCTTGAATCTTTTCAGTGATAGAATTGAAAGGAACTTGATGTCTGCTGCTATAGGCATCTTCTTGAAGCTTCCTGACTACTCCCTTTTCCTTCCATGTAATGGTGAGCTGGTTGAAATTAAATTCAACATTTCCCAAGCTTGCTAACCATTCCAGACCCAAAACCATCTCATTTTCCCCCAATTCTAAGACATAAAAGTCTTGAGTGATGGTAGATTGTGGTATGTTAAGACACACAGCTTCACATTTCCCATTGTTTCTTATTATGTCTCCATTTCCTATCTTAACCTCAAATTCTGGGATCTGCAAGGTAGGTAGGTTTGCTGCTTGAACTACCTTAGGAGATATGAAATTGTGGGTAGCCCCACAATCAATTAATATGATTATTTCCTTGCTTCCCCTTTTGCCCTGAATTTCTCCTCTCAACTTGAAAGTCCTGGGAGTAGTCAATCCTTCTTTACTCAGTAATGACAGTTGCATTTTTGAGATATCATTGTCCTCCATCATGGATACAGGTTCTGGATAGTTGTCCCTTTGCTCTTCCTCCTCCTCCGAGTCATCTAACATGATAATTTGGAAGTGTTTCATCTGGCAGATATGGTCTTTTCCCCATTTCTCCCCACATTTGAAGCAAAGACCTTTTCTACTCAACTCCTGCAGCTCAGACTGTGTCAACCTCTGTGTTCCCCTTATCCCTGCACCTTTATTTCCTATCTCATTGCTTTTCTCCCGGTTAGATTTCTCAGATCCAGACTGATTGATGAGGCTATTCTTCCACTGATTCTCATTCAACCATCTTTGAGGTTGGGCTGTAGCAGTCCCCTTTGTTCCCCTTCTATCATCTTCCCTGTACCTGCTGGAACTGATGATAGTGTTACCTTCCTCTATTCTCAGGGCTTTATTCATGACCTCGGTCAAGGTTCTTACAGGATTCTTCTTCAGTTCAGCCTTGATTTCTGCTTTCAAACCTTTCATAAAAATTCCCTCAAGTATTTGGACATCAGTATGTTTCAATGGAGCTGCCACCAGTTCAAACTCATCTCTGTAGTCCATTACACTCCCAGTTTGTTTTAGATTTAACAGGGGACCATATGGATCTTGATCCAGTCCAGGTTCAAATCTCTTCAACAAGGCTTCCTTGAACAGTACCCAGCTCCTCACATTGGCATGTTCCTCCCACCATTGGTACCAATTTAACACTCTTCCTTCCATTGCGAGGGTCACCAACTCAAGTTTATCCTCCTCTACAATCTTGTTCAGTTTGAAAAATCGCTCCACCTTAATGGTCCATCCATACGCGTCAGTTCCATTAAATAGGGGCAAGTCTACTTTCCTTCCAGATTTTTCATTCCAACTACGATGATCATCAAAATGTCTTTTGGAAGTGGATCGATAGTTACCTGTAGAAGATCCGGAATCGCTACTCCCCTGTTTCGCGCTACTTTTGGAAGTCGATGATCGCTCGCGGGAACGATGTGCGAACTTATTCATCATCATCTCACGAAGCATTTCCATGTCACGCCTCGCTTCCTCACTCCTTGTCCTGGCTTCTTCGTTGATCAGTCTGGCCTCTTCGCGATGCCTGGCGAGTTCGCGCTCCATCGCCGCGGACTGCCTTGCCAGTTCCCGCTCAACATTTTCCATTCTGGCTTCCATCGCACGACGTGTAGCAACCATATACAGGTACCACGATCGTCGCTCTGATACCAATGATAAGGATCAGACCTGCGATATATGATCTAACAACAGAAATGGAGAAAATCGATTGATGAACAGTAAATGAGGGAAGTCGTATAACAAACAAGAGGGAGAATAATGTTCTGGCAGTTTTAAGAGATGCCTCTCTCCAAGTCCCAGCCCAAACCAAAGCCAAAAACCAGCCTACCCTTATTACCACAACTTATCTATTTATAGTATTTTCCCTGTTGGGCCGGACCAAGCCAACTAGTACCTAGCCCAAACCCCTATTTATACAATATCACACTCCTTAGTAGAATTCTACTATTATTATTCATATTGGGGGTCCAAGTCCCTATCAATATACCTATGATTATAAGGCTGCGAGAGAACATATATATACTCCTGAGCTATATATGAGAAAATATATACCCCTCAACTATTTGAACACAAGGCTATGTTTGTTCCAACTTTACAACTTTTGTTTTTAATTTTTCCTATAGAAAATTAAGTGGCATACTTTTCCTCTGACAAGTAGTTTAAGGGTATATTTGTTCCGTCTCCGTATAATAATATAGAAAAAATAAATGTGAAGTTTAACTAAGAACTCAGGTATTCGTTAGACACAGATCACATCCTTTGTTGAGTATGCCCCACAGCATCAGGTGTCTACTGACTTCGTGTCTAGTATGTGTATGAGTTAGGCCCAATTTAGCAAGTATCAAACTGGTTTGTGTGATTACTGCAAACTTGATGGTCTGGGGCAGCCTGTCTGGGGTTTGATTTGGGCCCACTTGTCCACATTCATAGTTGTCTAGCCAGATTTGGTTTGAGGTAAATCTCACTCCTGTAGAATCTTTTTTGGGGTGAGTTATTCCCAATTAACATTATCAATGCTCGAGTGAAGTCTTTCAATTTATTGATTCCGTGCTATTTCCTGGAAATCATACTCGGGTGTCCATTTATAACAAGTTATCAAGATCAACTTCACAAATCATGACTTTTGCCAATTACACAAAATGCCCCCACAATGCAGTATAAATTTGATTTGAAGAGAGAAAGGACCTGCTAAGTGGCTAATATTCAGATCCCCTGAAAATGTTTTTAATGAATTTCTAGCATTTCTTTCCAATATTTAATAACACAATGGCTTTACATTTCGTCCAGGATCGGTAAGCAGAGATTGCGAGACGCTAGAATACAGGCAGTAGATTATCTTATCCTCTTACTTGCTGGGATCTGTTTAGGAACACTTGCTAAAGTGAGTGATGAAACTTTTGGGTCCTTGGGATATCTTTATACTGTCATTGCTGTCTGTAAGTAAAACACCTTCTACTTCTTTTGCACTTTAATGAATTTGTAGCTGCCCTCCCACCTACCCTTATTTTGGATGGGTTTATTCTCATCTGCTGAGATTCCTATTTTTGTTTTAGCCTTGCTCAGTAAGATTGCAGCATTGAGATCATTTTCTCAGGACAAAGTTTACTACTGGAGAGAGAGTGGGTCTGGCATGAGCAGCTTGGCTTATTTTCTAGCGAAGGATACAATTGACCATTTCAATACAATTGTAAAGCCAGCAGTGTATCTATCAATGTTCTACTTCTTCAACAATCCTAGATCCACCATCCTGGATAACTATGTTGTCCTGATCTGTCTCATATATTGTGTGACTGGAATAGCTTATGCACTTGCCATTTATTTGACCCCTGGTCAAGCCCAACTGGTAAGCATCTTGGCTTTATAAAAATGTCACCTTGCACCTGTTTAAATGTTTGACTATAATTTATCCACAAGAATCAATTTTTCATTTTGATTTTATTCATTTTGTTTGTTTCAGTGGTCGGTTTTGCTTCCAGTAGTGTTGACTCTTGTAGCAAACCAGGATGGAGATGCATTTGTGATGAGATTAGGGGATTTTTGCTACACCAAGTGGGCTTTAGAATCATTTTTGATAGCAAATGCTAAAAGGTTAAAACCTTTGGATCTAACCTTTGCCTTACCACATTTTATCCACACTTGTATATTTTCTAGCAAATATTCCTTCCTTCACAGAAGAGGCTCTACCATAAACGGGGAGGGTGAAACCTTAAGTGCTTCAGCGCCACTGAGTATTTGCTATGTGTGTGATTTGTGGGGTCATTTTAAAACTCACAATGGCCCCCACAAATCACGCACAAGGCAAACATTTCAATGCTCTATGAGGACTAAGCTTTTTTGCCCGTGACTAATAATTCATTAAACTAGGCACTGAAGCCCAAAGTTTTAACTTGTTATCAGCATCTAAATTTCATCATGATAAAGAAAACCATAGACCTCAGTTATTGTTGACTTCTTAGATTCTGCTTGGTAAGGTTAAACTCTGGCTGATGACTGACATTGCTGAAATCATTGCTGAATGGGCTGAGTTTTCATTAAAATATTTTAAAATAAAATAAAAATAAAAATTTAGAAAATTACTGTAAAAATGTCATTTCCTTTCATTCAAGCAACTAAACTAAAAATAGTAACTTATGTATGCATTTCTCTCTCTCTCTCTCTCTCTCTCTCTCTCTCTCTCTCTCAATATTAGCTTATTCATCCAACAGAAAAGTCAGGTTAGTAGTTTGTGTTTGGTAGAAAATAGGGGTGGGCAAAAATACCGAACCGGCATGATACCGAACCGGACTGGTATGGTACCGGACCGATAAACGGGGTTTGAAACGGATCTCAAAATTTTTTGTACCGAACCGGACCGAACCGGTTCCAAACAATGCCATGACCGGTTCTCATAAAATGAGAACCGGTACCGGACCGAACCGGACCGAAGTATGGTTTATTAAATTTGTACTACTATAGTTTATCTAAAATATATTAATTACCTCATCCGTCCCAAATTGATTTGCAAAGCCAACATTTTTGTTGTCAAAGTTAATGTTAAGTTCTTGATAATTAATACAATTTTTAATAATTAAAATTTACATATTTAGAAACCACATTAAAATCTCTCTAAAGTTGCAAAATCCAAATTAAAATATACTAAGTACGGAGTAGTTTTTTTGAAAGGCCAAATTAGAATATAATTAAAAAGTGAAATTCTAATTAAGTGAATAAAAAGAAATTGTTTGACCAAAAAAGATTGACTTTGCAAATCAATTTGGAACGAAGGTAGTATGATATATGAAAATTGATAAATTGTGTGGATTTTTTGGAGGATGGCTAAACTTTAATTTTTTCTTAAACACCTGGAAAAAGTGGTATTGTTTGGTATTGGTATGGCATGATACCGTCCCGTTTGAAAATGGACCGTACCGAACGGGTTTGGGTCTAAGACCGAACCGTACCGAACCGTTTCAATAGTAACGGTACGGGTACGGGTTCGGCCAAATATTGGACCGGACCGGACCGTGCCCACCCCTAGTAGAAAATATGACTGATAAGACCAGTTATGATTTAGGAGTAAAATTATCCTACCAAACCCCAGGCACGTAGACTGCTGCCTCTGGAAGGATAAATAGAATGCTAGGGATGATTGACTTACAAGGCCGTGCCTTAATACTTTTTGTCTTTCTTTTAATTATGGAAATCGATCAGGTACTACGGAGTGTGGCTGATCACAAGGTGTAACTCCTTAAAACAAAGAGGTTATGGTCTTGAAGATTGGTATCCTTGTTTAGTATACCTCATCCTTACCGGCATAGCCAGCCGTGGCTTAGCCTTCTTCTGTTTGATCACCTTCCAGAAAAAATAAATCTTTGTCGCTGTATGTATCTTGCTTGGGTGGTTCAGTTATCCTCAGCGTCAGTATGCAAGAATGGACTAATAGTGGCTGACTGCCCAGAGTGGTTTGCTCTGTGAACATGTTAAATCAGCAAAAATGAACTGTGGATGGAAACAGACATGAACGTTCACATTAATGTGGAGATGTAGGAATCTTAGTGTCGGGACACCAGAGAACTTGGTGAAGCCCGAGACACATACACGATACACCATCAAGTTAGATCTACAGAACTCTGAACTTTGTTGTACATTTGTGGCTATTAGTCTGTTGTGTTTTTGTAACTAAAGTAATCAGACCTAGAAGATTAGCAAGTACTACCGAGGTTAGTAGGGTCAAGCGCTGCTGTAGAAGTCCATATTATTTGATTCGCATGGCAGTATCAAATGTACTATGTATATTTGGAAGTTGCAATCTTGTCGCTTAGATTGTAATGATAAAATATTATTTTCATGTTGCGGGATTACACTTGTGCTTTGTTTGGACAGGGTGTGGAAGAGTGTTAGTTTGAACACATGCAGGAAGTATTAAGAAGTGTTGTTGCTAAAGTATCAACACTTCTTTAAAAGAAGGTTAAAGTGTTGTTTGAGGAATAAATTGGAACCCTACTAAGTCCTAACACTTCCATTCTGCAGTTTCATATCACCCCAATTTAGGGTGTTATTGGGTGTTAGAAAATTTTAGACTTCTTCCCCTTCCAAAATTTTTTCTGTAAGATTTCTGCAATTTCTGGGAATGATGGTTTTAATTTTTTTCCTACACTTTTTCTTGTTTTACTTTTTGAAAATGCAGTTTGCCCTGCTTTATCGTCTTCCAGTTTCCTTTTATCTGTGTATGGTATACATTACATTATAACAGTGCAACTGGGTCGGGTCGGGGTGGGGGAGGTACCGGGTACGGTACTGGTACACAAAATGAGGGACTAGACTGGCCTATTCTTATCCCCAACGGATTTTTATAAATTAAGGTGCTGGGGCTGGGGCTGGATTGTGAAGAAATGGGTGTTATATTAATTTTTGTAATGTTTATACTTGTTCAATATTTCATAATGCACTGTTTTAATACTTTTAATAGTTTATAATTCATAACTAATACTCGGTATTTTATGAATTCTTACCTAACCTCTTATATGACTTATACCCTAATCCTATAAATATCTCGCCATACAGTCATATTTCCATTCCTACATTCACATGATATGTCTTAAATTTCCTTCATTTCTTAACTTTCCACTTCAATAGAATATGATATCCATATCCGGTTTAGGAGCATATCCAATTTCAGTATTCCATCATTAATGAAATCCTTCAAATTCATTTTGTATGCAAAATGTCTTCATTGCATGAAAATAAGTAATTTTGACATAAATATTATGTACTTACTAAAAGTAGGACGCGTGAAATGAGTGATTGAACAAGTCTTATATCTAGAAACCTCTAAAGTCTAAATGTATATTACTAATATACATATACTAATACCCAATGACCCTGGCACCCCAATGACCTACAGGCTACAGTCCGTAACTTTGGTACACAATACTATACCCTGCCTCCCAGGGGCGTAGCCAGGACGGATGTCTACCTTGGGCCGACTTTACACTAAAAATATTAAGTACAAATTTTAAAAGCGATATTAGTGTAAACATAATGATTAAAACCCATTAAAATTCATAGTAATATTTTTAAACAATACATACAATGTTTGAAATTGAACACTACGCTCTTTGACCTTAGCAAACTCATCTATGACAGACTCGACGTCGATTTTGTTGGCAAATTCCTTTTCAATAAAGATGGTCAAGCGATCGGCAAGAAATTCATCTTTCATCTTGTTACGAATTACCAAAAAATAAATAAATAACTAATCAATACTTTATTTTAATTCATATTAATATCTTAAAAAATTCACAAATCACATTTGACGTTCCTAATTTTCTATTTCACTAATCACAATTCAAAGCACACAATTACACAAATCAATTGTAACACAACAAGTCATGAAGTCACTGCTCACTAACTCAAACTAATTTAACATACAAAATGCAAGATGAGCACAAGGCAGTGAGTTTGTAAAACTAATTTAACTTACTATTCATAGTTCATAACGGCAGTTGGCAGTTCGTGAAATTGTGAAAAGAAAGAAAAACTAATTTAACTAATTTAACTAAATGTAAAACTAATTTAACTTAACATATAAAAATTGTAAAAAAAAAAGAAACTTACCTTGGCCGGCCTAGATGAGCAGAACGGCAGAAGGCAGTGAAATTGTGATAAGAACCAAAGAAGCAGTCGGCAACTCGGCAACTCCGGCAAGCACAGTAGCAGACGGCAGTCGGCAGTTCGGCACCACTCCAGCGAGTCGGCGAAGCACGGCGAAGCACGGCGAATCATTCGGCGGCGAAGTACGGCGAAATACGACGAATCATTTGGCCGTGCTCAGGGCTGATTCGTTGAGGCGTTCCTGACTCCTGAGTGTGACCGATTGAATAGCAGTGAGGATGGGGCGATTTGGCTTGGACGCTTGGCTGCTGGGTTAGCGTTAGTGCGTTACCTTTCCCTTTCTTTAGATTTAGATTTTAGAACTTGGACTCTTTACACTGGGCCATAATGTTTGTATACTGGGCCGGTTTTATTTTTTCCCTGGGTCAGTTTCTAAAACAGATCAAAATTCTATATATAATATAAAAAAAAAATTGCCCTGGGCCATGGCCCAGCCTGGGCACCCCCTCCCTCCGCCCCTGCTGCCTCCTAGTGAGCTTCGGCCCAGTCACCTGCAACTATAGTGATCTCACTCACGCCCTAAGAGATCATGATAGAGACAATGATATACCTAGGCTGCGGCCGCGGGTTGCGGTGGGCAGGGGCGGACCCAGGAAGTTTATCTTGGGAGGGCGGTAACTTAAAAAAAAATTGGGAAGGCAAAAATTATTTTTTGATATATATACACTAATTTTTTTTTGTTGGAGGGGCCACTGCCCCCTGGGTCTCTACTACGGTCCGCCTCTGGCGGTGGGCAAGTTGAGGCGGCAGGAAACAACGGCCTTCAGCGCTGCATCGGTTTGAGCCGATCGTGGACAACCGATGGGGGGATTAGGGTTGTTTTTATATTCATATTTAGGAATGTATTGGTCTTTTCGTATTCAGGAAGTCTTTTTTATTCAAATTGGAATGCAGTCTTATATTTGTCCATTACCAACTCATAAGTAAAATTTATGTCAAATGACTATCTTTGTGATGTAAAAAAACAAGGGAAATTTACCGGGATATGACTAAAACTCAATGAGTTTCTCAATCTATGACCTAACTAGTTTTTATACCTTTGTATGACCAAAAATCCAAGAACAAATAGAAAATTCGTTTATATTTAAATGTTAAATGACAAAAATACCCTTATTTAAAATATGTGCATTTTGCACTAATTTCGTCCAATTAAAATTACTGCACTTTATATTGCCGTTAATGCACAAAATTAATGCATGACATTACTGCACATCCGGTAATAATCACTATACTTTCCCTAAAATTAATTCTCTTATTCAATTGAGGATTTCTTTTTTAAATTTAATAATTTTATTATTTTACGTTTAATTAAGTACATTGCATTTGATGATGATATCACTGCTTTGTGTTACTACAATACTAGTCATAATCACTGCATAACAAAATTTCTTAATGCATTCGTTCACTGCTATGTACAACATGTCTATTATTTATTGCCATATTCGTTGTCATATTCAAGACTTATTGTCATATTCACTAGCTAATGCTCAATGCACATGTTTAATGTCCATAAACCCTAAATTCAAACAAACTTTAATTTCTTTTTTTAAGGAACAAACAAACTTTAATTTCAAAAATAGAAAATTAAAAAGAACCCTTTTCAACCCATTTCAAGCCAATGTTCTGTAATACCATTCCAATACTCAATGCATTCACATTTTCAACGTATTCCCAATTTTTTCCAAAGTTCTCTAATTCCGAAGCCTGGCTTTCAAATTCCATCTTCAAGACCAGCCTATCTGGCGTAAACGACGCTCCATTGACGCTCTGCAGTCACGATTGAAAAGAATAGGAGGGGCAGCAGTAAGGATAAGCGATCCAAAAAGAAGAGAAGAAGAAGCTAAGTGATGGACGACCGCCGCCGCCGCCTTATAAGAGTGAGCTTTTCTCTTCGCGAAATCAGATTTGGGAAACTGGGCATCTTCTTGTGCTGGCCGGTGGCCGGCGGGCGGCGCCTTGACACCCAGGTCGGGCGATTGTGCTCCCAGGCTAGAGAACGACCTTTGGAAGGCGGCGGCGATGGAGGGTACGTGGCTGGCAGCTAGAAGGCGGGCAGAGGTTCGACGGCTGCTGTTGCGTGGGTGAGTGGCGGAAGTTATACGTGAGAGGGTGTAGTTAGGGTTGTAGAAAATGAGTAGAAGGTTAGGATTTTATAGGTATAAACTAAGGGGTATATTTGTCCATAAAAATTAATTATTATTTATTAATTACGAATTTTATTTAAATGTTATGAATTATAATATTATTTTGAGAAAAAAACTTGTTAGATCATAGATTGAGAAACTCATTGAGTTTTACTCATACCTAGGGTAATTAACCCTAACAAATACTATGTAATAGAAAGTATAATTTGAAGAGTTGCACCATGTAAGGTATCATATCAAATGATGATGTTCTAGTCCCAAGCCCCGTGGGCCGTGGAGCTAGTTCAAGTGGTCGTAGTAGTTCTTCTAGGGTGAGTTGTACCGAGAATATGAGAATACAAGCAATTAATTAGTTAAGATTGATTCCTTATGCATGGTAATGTATATAGATGATAATGAAAACCTGAATAATTCAAATTACATTCTCACGAGTTTAAGCTTTTGAGATGAGTTTTTGGGAGAGAATTGGTAAGGGATCTTTAAATTGCTCTAACATAAAAAAGGATATAGAGCCCACGTGTGAGGGTACGTAATTGTTGCAATAAAACAAATTTTGTTGCATATGAAAAGAAAAACACTCGTAGTAAGATGCTTAAATTGGTCTGGCATGCAGTACACCTGTAGAACACTATAATTACATAAACTTTTTTGGGTGATTGAAAATAAAGTCAAAAAAAAAGTCAAAGCCGGGGGAGGGAAAGCGACAATGACACACAGACATGCATAGACCTACACTGAAGAAGGGGTTCCAAATGTAAGTGGCAAATGGTCATACTAGTACGTGATACCACATTTAGAGCCCGTTTGGTAGCACCAAAATCGGCTGTTTTGGCTGATTCTGCTGATTTAAGAAAAAAATATTTTAAAAATATATTTTATTAATAAATTAAAGAAAAAATTATATGTAAAAATAGCTAAAATGGTCCTCTACAGTAACTTCAGCCAATACAGCCAGAAAAGTAACTTCAACCTTACTTTTTCGGCTTATTACACAATTCAGTGCGCGAAAGTAAAAGTTACGTGTTTGGTGAAAAAGCTGGC